ATATCTTTTGTTAATGTCCTTAATTTTGCAATTATTTGAATTTTAGATTTCACAATTGATTCCAAAGAATCGGGTAATCTAGAACAACAGACAATTGGAGAAATAGATATTGGATTTTGGCAATTGGATTCTGAGAATAAGACAGAGAGTAAGCAAAAGGATACGGATGACGATTTGACTCATATTGCTTTCAATGAGAAAAGAAATTTAGGTGCACCCTTTGTGGTCAATGCACTGGCGGATGGTGTCACTTCAATAAACCTGCCAAAGATATTTGAACCTGAACAAATGATGACGAAATTAGATAAGGAAATGATTTGCGATGATACTCTTGAAAAGATAAATTCATTGATCAATATGGATAGAGTCATTATGACAGATGCCAAATCTGGAAAGTCTAAGTACAACGACCGTATAGAAATTAAACATTTAGAACTGACATCACCTGTGCTATCGAGTATAACTAAAAATGATGAAAGCGAAGATGCTAACAGATTAAAAGCCGCTAATGTCAATAATACAAGCAATCGAAATCGTTGTATGCGCAAAAAACACATTAAAAACAACAATCCTCAGTATATAGATCATAATAGTTCTACAGAAACATCGAGTCCAAGGCGCAAAAATGTTAACTCACATCAACATATGGATGAGAAAGCACCAAAAATTTATTGCCTAAGAAATCTAGTTATCGTCATAATGAAAAGCGGGAGTAGATTCTGTTTCACTGGCAAGCTGTTAGTAAAAGTGTTGTACGGTGCTGTGAAAATTTACGGTTCCGTGTTAAACAAGTCGATTAATAACACAGAAATATACTCTCCACGTGGATACAGCAATGTCGTCATAGAAACTAGCGAAGAATTCCCGAAAGACAGTGTCGAAGATGTGTGGACAGCGCTTGCTGTAAAAGGTATCACTCGAGACTCTGAGAGCAAATTACAGATTGACGTTGATAACGTCCAACCAGGAACAGCTGTTCTCGTACTGCAGAATTTCGAAAACAATTTGACGCTCTTCCTGAAAACCTACTTCACATACTTCAAATTGTTCCCAAACGTAAAGAATCCTCACTATTTTTCATGGACAGATCCCAAACGAGCTGAGATAATATTACAAGCGACACTGCGCTTCGAGCAATACAATTTTAATTATAGACAGTTGATCGTTGATTCTTGTATCACCATGGACATTGCGGAGAGAATGTTGAATCGCTGGCGCGCGAATGAATGGTCTTGCACGCTGATCGCTGGTGGTAAAAGCGTCGGCAAATCCACTAGTATGCGATATTTGATCAACAGTCTGTTGGGCACGTCGAAGAAGGTAGTTTTGATAGATGTAGATCCCGGACAGGCGGAATGCACACCGCCCGGATGTATCTCATACAGTTTGATCGAGGAGCCGTTGATGGGACCGAATTTCACGCATTTAAAAGCACCAGTTTACCAGCTGTTCATTGATAACGTAGACGTTAGTCGATGTGTTACGCGTTACCTGGAGGGTATTAAGATGTTGATCGAAAAATTGAAGGAGTGTCCCATCCTGTCTCGTTTACCTGTAGTTGTGAACACAATGGGTTTTACAAAAAGTCTTGGTTGGAACATTATAATTTTCACGATAAAACTAATCAGCCCCTCAATCATCCTACAGATTATGTCATCAAAAAAGAAGAATAATTATAATGACGTTCTTAGTGCAGCAGTTATAAATAATCAGGTAATACATAACTTTTGTGATAATAAAGTATGTATTGTTGAACAATCGATTCCTGAGAAAGACGTTTAACAGAAATGTTCGTGGACATTCTGCGATGAGACATTCATCGATTGGAACAGACCGTGTGAACACGATTTGTGCCTAATCTATTCCCAGGCGGAGGTTGCAGCGCGAAACGAGTTAAACATAACACCATATCAAGGACGTGAACTCGTGATGTTATCTTATCTCAGCAATATTGTGCACGACAAAAATGATTTTCCGTAAGTAACTATATACATTGTTTCATGTTTTATTTTAAAAAACCCATAATTTTAATTTCAATGCTTGTTATTTCAGCCAGTACAACACAGAACTTTCATTTAATATTAACGAAGCAGTGCCGTATACGTCAGTATCTTATATCTTATTGGTATATAAATATTAAATAATGATAGACGTATGTGAATATCTTGATATTTATAGGGCACCCTTTTCTTCCTTGTGCATTATACCACAACGATTATTCGGAGTACCTGCATCACGAGCTTTAAATGTCATAAATGGTAACATTGTAGCGTTATGCGGTATAGATTTAACGGAAGACTCTCCAAAAAAGTCCACAAATATTTCCAATCTTCAAGTATTGACGCAAAGATCTCCTTTATGTACATGCTACGGATTCGGTAAGTAATGATACTTTTGCGTGAACTTCTATTTTAATAACAACAAAAACAAATATTTTCGAATATTTTTAAAATAAATATATAGAGAAAATATTTATTCGTATATATTCATATATACGATGTATATATATATATTTAAAAAATATTATGAATGTATCCTGTATTATTGTATAGGCATAGTTCGAGGTGTCGATATGGAACGACAAGAAGTGTTTATAATTACTCCGTTATCGATATCAATCATGCAGCACGTTAATTGCTTGGCAGGCTGTATTCCTGTTCCTCCAGTATTATTGCAATTACATCAAGGTGCTCCTTATGTTGGTGGAAATGCAGAATTACCAACGAGTCGTGAACCTCGCAGAGGGTATTTCAGAATGAAATATCAAAATAAAAATGAGTCGAGTAAATCATAATGAATCATATTACGTGTGCTGATATATTCTTTGTTAAATGCTTGTCAGAACGTTTAACGTTTTACGTTTAAGAACGTAAAACAAAGTAAAATTTTCAAAAAATCAAAAAAATTTGTTTATTTTTTTTTTTTCATCAACATGCTTAGGTGCATATACGCAAAGTATATATAATAATGAATGCGAGTGGCGACGAAGGAAGAATCCAATTCAGGAAGGATATGAATGCAATACATGATGCTACAGCTGTTATGACGATTCATTTTACAGTCTTGGAATAGATTCTCTATGATAAACTAACAAATTCGATATATTTCTATTAAATAATCAATACTGAAACTTTAAACGTGTTTTTTTTTTTCAAAATTACTATTTTTCAAGTGGCGTCTATAACTCGAACGGTCAATTTTCGACCGATTGGCCACAGTTTGAACAGTAACTTCACAAAATGAATAGTTTCAGTTAAGCAGGATTTTTTAACAGCTGCCATTTTATAAAAAAATAATAAAGAATTATTTTAAAAACTCGCTACGCTTAACTGAAACTACACTCATATAGATTCGAAAATTTTATTTCAGATAATTACAACTTGTGTTCTCTATGCTGATGGATTATGTTTTTTAAACACAGAAGTTTACAATGTTGTGCAACATCGCCATATATTTATATTTTGACAATACAAAAATTCTTAAAATGTTTTCAAAGTATGCACAATTAAGGTACCAATTCATATTTTTTACTTTAGAAAAAATTGGTAAAGAGAAGTCTTTTTTTAAGATCTTTACTCTGTTTTATTCTCTTAAATGAAATAAAAGTATGTCAGAAATTATTATTCATACTTTTAGACAATATTTTATTTTGTACAATTGATGATTATTTCATTTCAAGTGGTAAAGGAAATAATAACATATTTCTATATATTGATTTATGTCGTTCCAGAATAATTTTCTTGGAAAGAGATAAAATATAAACATATATTTTCAGTGTATATGTGTGTGTATACAGGATATGATTGTTAATTGTATGTCTATGCTTCATTCAAAAAAGTGAATATAGCGCTCAAAAGAAGCAAAAGATATTACAATTAATAAGGACCAAATAATCTATTATCCTTTCCTTGTTTTAATCACTAGAAGGTTGACGCAACGAAAAATAAAATAGTACATAATATATAATGATGAATATTGACATATATTAAGATCATGTTGTATATATAAAAAATTGTGATATATAATTTAATATACAGGATGTCCCAAAAAGATCGGGATCCCTGAATATTTCAGAAAACGTAATTTCTGCTGTAAAGTGTTTCAGTCGTTTCAGACAAAAGTAGTTGTAGAATTTAAAAAAATTTATTACTGATCTTATCAGTTTGATCTTGGATGGCGATGTTAAAGTTAAACTGATAAGATTAGTAAATAGATCTTTTTAAATCCTACAATTCTACACTCTGTATATATAAATATTCATTATAATCAATTATTGAACATCAAGCAATTAGGGATGCATCGATTATTCGAAAAATATCCGATATCTGGCCGAATAACCGGCAATATATCTGGTTGAAATTTTATTTTGATAGTGTGCGTTAATGCAGAACTTTGTTCTTTTTAGCTAAATTTCTTGCACAGTTCATTTCTCTTTCATCTTTTTCTTTTAACATTGGAAAGAAAACAGGGTTGGTATCTTTAGATTATCTTAAGATTAATGTCTTTTTTTATGAATAAAACATATTGTGTTTTTTCTTAAATATGTTTTTATTTCTTTAAATATGCTTTAAATAGTATTATAAAAAAACACATTAAAAACTTGTTTTTTACCAACCCTGAAAGATAAAGAAAATTATTATCGCTATTTTTCTCTTATTGTCCCTTTTTTATGAAACCATTTTCCAGACATGTCTGGCAAAATATTCGATTGAATAATTCCTACCGGATTCCTACCGGATATCCGAAAACAATGACACCAGATATCCGATAATTTCGGTAATTTTATGAATCGGTGCATTCCTACAAGGAACATTTTACACATTATTTTTATAAGAAATACAAAATTTAGGTATATAATATATATAATTGCAATCATAAATTAACCTGATAATAGCATGAGATAAAAAATCATTACTTAATTATGTGCTTAATTATGTACTATTCGACAATGATAAAAAAAACTTTGCTGGATCAAAATTTTCGTTAAAAGTATCTATTGCAATACGGAGGTAATTCAATTATTTTCTTTAAAAAACAGACTTTTTGCTTGTCTCATCTTCATTGCACTTAAAATATAAGCATAAAGGTCGTAATATGGCAATAAGTGTTTGTACGCTCCAAGACTTTCCGAGTATTTTCTGTCGATTTGTGGCTGATAAATTCTTCACGTCCGTATAATGTCGTGGGAAGCCAAAAATTTCTTCGAGTTCAGTAATCCATATCGTATCAGTTTTGCCTTTCATTATAATTGGTTTTAATTCTGCTTTTCCTAAAATAAAAATAGAAATTAAGTATACATCGCTTTCAATAAAAATATCTGTGAAATGTTTTTATTATAGATATTTTTATACCTTGTAATAAAGAACCCGTTCTACCCGTAACTGTATGAAGTTTCTTGCAAAGAGCCTTTCGGTTCAAATTTGGAGTAAGCTTATCCTGAACATCTTGTCGGCTTTCAAATAGCGGCATATATGGATTAAAGGGAAGATTATGCCAGTAAAGTCTCAATCTATGTTGAGGTGAAAAATCCGCCGAATCTATGACATCAGGTTCTCGTCCTAAATTTCTACAATAATTAATGTAATAGGTTAATTTCGTAATTATAATATTACCTGTTGAATTATAAGTTAACAAATTATAGTAAATATTTTAATTTACTTGTTAATTTCTAATCTATACTCGGTTGGCATAGAAGCGACATTCTCAAATAACCAAAACATATGTCGACCTTTGTTAGCTTTTTCTACTAGTTTTTTAATTCGGCAGTACTCGAAAAAGAGAATGCCTGTCCCCTTTGGATCTATTACATTGGATTATAAAAATAGATTAAAATCATTATAAAAGCTTTTAACAGATACATATTAATTGCAGATTAGTACCGTGGAGACCTAATCGTGCCGGATTGACCAGACTTAAATCGTTGCATGGTGACCCACCAATTAGTAAATCAATCGGCGCAATTTCTTGAATTTTTTCCTTTGTTATACCTCTTACATCTCCTAGATAAGTAATACGATCACCAAAATGAGCAGAACTAATCGTTAAGGCATTTACATCAATTTCACTAGCGTAATAAACTTCCACAACGAGCCCCAATTTTTGAAGCACCAAAAAACCTATCATGCATTTAACAGAAAAAAAAAATATGTATATATATATATATATATATATATGCATCATATAAAATTATATCTTTCGAGTGTGAACTTGCAATAATTTAATGCAAACATTTAAAAAAGTATGATTGTAAATTAAATGCAAATTTATCTTACCAGTGCTCAAGCCATCAAAAAGAGACAACACACGTACAGCTTTATTCTGTTTTTTCAAATTTGCAATATCTACATCATTTGTGAAATTAGGAGTTGTACGGAACATTTTTGTAAAATGCTCTTTCCAATTTAACCGTGGACGCAATATCAAATCTTTGGGCTGTTTAGTTTTGTCTCTGCAGAGAAAACATTCCCATGGATCTTCCAACAACATGTCATCAAATGATTTTGGACATATCAAAAATTTCAAACAAGCTGTACAATAAACACTGAAATGAATAATGCGTTAAATAATTATACTCTGAAGCGACAGAAATCTATTTTAAATGCGAATAAACCAACCGTGGACAATCTTCTGAATCACAAATAAGAACAGTTCCGGTGTTGGCACAAATTGTACAATAAAACTGAAATCAAAAATGAAACAAAGCGACAATCAATATTTTAATTTCTTTAAATATCGTCGGAACTGCTGAATACTTACGCACTTGCCATCGTTCCCATGCACAAACATACACGGTTTAAATTCATCCTAGAAAAAAAAAAACAGACAAATGTTTGTGCAATAAATAGCCATGATGATCATTATTTTTCTATTACTATTACTGCTATAATTTATGAAAGAACGTGTTTTATTTCATACCGAGCATTCTTTACATAAGGATCCTACAAAGAACGGATGCTCCTCCTTTTTGCCTTTAGGAACTTTCAAACATTTTAAGCATAAATTTTCCAAATCACAGTCTCCTGATACTATGCGACGAAAATCATCTATAGTTAATAAAAAAAATTACAAATAAAAAATTGATGTTAAAAGTATCAATTTGTGATTTACACATATTGCATAATTCAACTTACTACTCGCTTTTATGTCACGCTTTCGTTCAGCACCTATATCCGACTTGAATTTGAATTCGTTGATTTTTTTTACCATCTCCTTGGAATATTTATCATATATTCTGTTAGAGTCTGAAACTTGTAATTGGTTAGACGGTATGTGAATATTATTTGAAAAATATTCAAAGACATTATCTAAAGTCCAGTTATCCGTGTCGCATCCTAATCGTGAGCAATAATCCTAAAAAGTCAGATTCAAATGTCGTGAAAGTTTTTGAAATTTCTTACAAGAAAATATTCATCATACATGTAATACATTCAAATAAACCATTTATAATATTATCTTAAATAAATAATTCTTTAAATTTTTTACCTTAGAGGCTTGAAGTACGCCTTCAAGATATGGTAGTCTGTTTGTATTCTGAATGTACTCTCGCATCTTTTCTATTCCTTTATGAAATTTCAAAAATTCGAGATGACGCACCTATTAAATACAAAATATTAAAATAATAATTTATTTATTATATAAATTTATATTTATTATATAAAAATAGAAAACGGAACATCTACTGTGCAAATGTTTTCATTTTTTGGAAATTGATATCAAAACTAGTCACCTCCGAAACTTGATAATCCCCATACCACATAATCCATTGACAACCAAAACTCGGTTCTTTTAAACAGCAGTCGCGATAATCAATAATCATTGCTGAAAAAAAATGTGAAATATTCTTCATACTTAGGAGGAAGGATTAAGCGAACATTAATAAAAAAAAAAAAAAAAAAAGTAAGAGTAAATGCGCTTATACCGGGCCACCAGCAATGTCCAGGGATTTTTGCCCAGGCTATCACACCAGGCTGTTGGCTTTGTAAACATAAGCGCTCATCATCGATTTGTTCCCAGCTTGTATTTACATTTTTATTTTTTTCCGTATTCTGCTTTTTTGGTGGCGGCTCTGGTGAACCTACAGAGGATATTAAATTAGCGTTTCAAACAGTATACAAAAATTATAGATCTAAAAAAGACATACTTTTCCGACGTGACATAAATTTCTTAGTAGCTTTGGAATTTTTTTCCTTCAGGCCATCTAATTTTTCTTGTATGTTTTCCGGGTACGGATGAAACGTTAGATCATCCACTGTCGTATCAAATAACTTTTGCTTTTATTTGCAACGATTATGAAAGATAATTCGTAGGATCTTATGACTTACGTGTCTCCAAATTAGCTATGTTTCGTCGTATCCAATAATAATAAGGCTTTGTCAGAGTACAGTTGAAACGTTGGCGTAGTATCTAAAATAATCGTAACGGCACATCGCATTTTTGGAAGTAATTCCTTATATAATTCTTATTGTCTTTAATTTTATTCTCGAAGAGATATCAAAGAACCTGTATAGTCGCGTCAATGGCACGCGAACGAATATTTTTACGAGACGGTTGCGACAATCGCTCCTCCAAGTTCCTCGAGAAAGGTTGTATCTGTGTTTCTGGTTTAAGCTGAAATCATAATTACATTTCATTATTCCATCAATGAAAAGATTTCTATACTAGACATAGCTAATTTACCAACGATATTTGCGATTCTCCGATCCAAAAAACCCATAACTTGTCAGGTTCAGGAGCCATTCCTACATGTTCGGCATCGACGATTAGTGCTGCAATGTTACATTTTGAATTAAAAAAAAAAACGATATTCCTTTAAGATAAAATAAGATAAGCATTTAATATATAGTTGCGCGACAAAAACGATATTTCTAATTAGCTAAAAACATTAATAATGTTAATTTTTATAGTTAATTTTTACAATGAAACCTGTACTCGCAATGCGAGCTACATTTTGCATGCAGTACGTTCATATGAGACACTTTGTAATCATTATCTCTAATATATTTACCTGGCCACCATCCTGAAAAGAATCCCCATACTAGTTTACCGGGATGATTCTCGTTAATATTTTTAGTCTTTACTAGAGCCCTGGTAACTCTACGCGGACCACTTTCGCTTTTTTTATCATTATCATGCTTCAAATTGTTACCTTTGTTACGTGAGCATTGTCGCATTACATTTACTTTGCTACTAATTTTCATGTTTTTTGCTGTATCTTGATCCTATTATTATTACACATTCAAATATATATTATATACTATATATTATTTATATATTATTATGTTAATATATATTATAGATTGTATAATGCTTTCATGTGATTTTTTTAAAACATACTGATTGCATTTATTCTTTCAAAATTATAAATTGTAATAACTTACAAAATTAAATAAGAAAATTTCCAAAACTTATTTCGAAAAATGAATTATTTAAAAAAAAATGTATTGGATAATAAAATATAAATAATGTTGAGAATTATTATACATAAAAGTATGTTTTTATATATCTATTCTCTACTCTTTATTCTTCTTACATTGAAAAAACTTTATGGAATTTTCACAAACAAATTTAACGAGTCAATTTCATAAACAATTCTATTACCGAATACATAAATAATAGTTTACCTTGGAATCATCATCCTCATCTTTGGCAAAATTACCGTCCGAAGCCGATCTCCTAATTGTTCTATTTTTATTTGTATATGTGATTATAGCTTCGTCACGTTGGCCCATGAATTTTATGTCCTCCATAGCTTCATTCGAATCATCAAAAGAATTTATTTTCGTCAGGAAAGTATCTGACTTTTCGTGATACTTCAAACACGCATTATTCAACGTTTCATCCTTGTCATCACATTTTTCATCTTTTATAGAATCGTCACTAACAATCTTCATAGCCAATAGCATCGCGCTATCAACAACTTCGTTACCGCATTCTTCAGTTGAAGATTCTAAGGTCGATCGACGCCAAGATGAGTGGATTCTATCGTCGTTGTCGCTGCTGTCCTCCGATTTCCAGATCTCCTCCATGTTTATTTTCAAGGATGGTGCTGATCCCGGAGTATCAAAATCGACACAATCGTGAAAGACGCTTCGATAAGCCGTCTCCGTATTTTCATCTTGTTTACAATCAATCGAATATCTGTATCTCTTCTTGCGCCGCCTGCCAACCGGATTAACATTTATTAATGATTCCTCAACATTTGTTGATTGTTCAAATTTCTGAGATGATAAATCCTGATTTTTAAATTCGTTCTTATCTACCCACTCGTATTCCATGGAAACATCTTGATTGGAATCCTTATGATTCGACTTCTCGAGCATATCTCTTCCATTTTTGGAAATCGTTTCCTCAATTTTCGTGCTTATACACTCTTGAATATCTCGCATAATTGCGGCGGCTGTATCCTTCGGATTTCTCTTGCACGGACAGGTAGTATTTGTAAAATTGCGAGAACGCCGTCGGCGCGTTTTACAGTTGCAACATTTCTGTACAATTTCTTCCGCGATATCACGCGTGTTAGTAGTGACGTCATCTCTTAAATCCGATTTACTTTTTGAAGAATTTTCCTCCGAATTGTGGGAAATTCGCCGCCGATTATGATTATTATGCGCCGCAGAATTGCGAGTATTTCTTTTCTGTTCCATCGATTTGTTTCTCTTTCTCTTCGACATCACAGAATGATCCCTACCGTTTTCCAACTCGGATTTCTTCTTTCTCAATAACATTCCTCTGGTTTTACGTGAAACGTTTTCATTCTCAAGACTCTTGCGTGTCGCACGTCGTTCCGAAAATTTCGCAAACTTGACGAGCAAAGGCTCGTCATCATCCTTAGAAGTATCAGCAATCGACTTTACATCCTCCGAAGTATCGAGATCATTATTCTCGATGCTATCATCGATTCGCAAGACGTTCATGAAATAATCAGGATATTCGGATAACTCCTCCCGATTTTGCGAGTCTTCCTTCGCATGACTTTGCGAGTAGAATTTGGAGTATCCGGAGCCAGAATAATCAACCGGAGCGATCTCCGAGCTCGTTTGACTAATTACTTCTTCTTCGTCTTCGCTCGATTCGGAACTTTCGGACAAACGCTCGTCTTCATTGCGGAGAGCGCGAGATCGCGTGGACGAAGAGTTCTTCCTCGCCGATAATCTTGCCGACCGATCATGAGATACGTTCAAATTTTCTCGCTCGGATCCTTGCAGTGGCAGTGAGGTTTCATTCTCGATCGCAAGATTCACTATTGCATCATTGATTTTCGAATATACGGTCCTCGGTTTCTTATACCGTTTCAATGATAATCTTACTTTTCTCCTTCGCTTCCTTTGGGCGGGTTTCGTACTAGTGATCTGCTTAATTTGTGTCGGGTCGATAAACGGCCATGAATTACCGAAGATATTCGCGGACTTGGTAGCGTCATCTTCGTGATCATTCTTTTCGAAATCAGAAGATTTCCCTGCGTCCTCAGTGGTAGACGGAAAGTCCAACTCAGAACAACTCGCGATGACGACTTCCTTGAGGGAAGATTCGCGAAGTAAACCCAAGTCTAAGGCACAGGATAAGGCCCAAACGTTCGCTATCATGGATAAATTGGATGACTTTTTCTTAAGTTGATCCGGCTTTTGCTTTGGTTCCTACAATTAAAAATTAAAAATTTTTCAATCTAAAAAGATAAGTAACCTGGATTTATTTTATGATTCATAATTTTAATTATTCATAATATTAAGATATAATAATGACATCAAGAATCTTTCATAATCTCTTATTATTAAAAAGTACAAATTATAAGTAAATTGTAATTTTCTAAAATAACATTGTTAGAAATTATATTATATAATTATATGCGCTAAAATATTTTGATACAATAATATTTACATTATTTTACTTTTAAGAAATATACATATCTATATACGTCATTTTCCAATATTAATTGAATCAATATAAAGTAATTTTACAAAATGATTGCACGCGTCGCTTCTAAAAAATTATTCACATTGAAAACAAAAACCTTATCTCTTAAAATTAAAAATTGTGTCGTTTAAGATACAATTAAGAATGATCGAATGATTGCCACGGGAGAATATGCAAGAATATCACGTGAAATTGCATCAGCGACACAACACCGGAAGTGAGAAACGTACGGATGGAGAGTCCCTTCATAATCCGGGATGTGTTTGCTTATTTCGTAATTACGAGAGAGTAAAGTGTATAAAGAAAATGTATTGGATCGCGCGCGTCGCATCCGTGAGCAGATTTCCCATGGGTAAATGTAACTCGCAACATTGACAGAGTCCTGGTGTCCCGGGGTTGCAGGATGAGGCATCACGAAAGTTTTGCTCTGATGTCCTATACGCATATGTGCGTGTGTATGCGCGCGCGCGCGTGTGTGTATATGTGTGTGTGTGGGTGCGTGCGTGTGTATGCGTGCGTGTATGCGCAAAAAATCTCGTTTCTCAAAGAGAATCAAATTGAGGTCGCGGGCGCTTGATTAAAATTAAACTTAAATTAATCCTCCTCGGCCGCGTGTTACCGCCCGTGGTAAACACGCGGTTTTCATATTACCGCGCCGTGTCGAAGAGGGTAGTTTCTCGAAACGAGAAGCTGTAGGTACTCTCGCGGCGAGAGGAGCACGTTCTTGATCATGGCGTAATATTCGCGCACGGCGCACGGCAAACATTGCGTTTATATCCCCCTTTGCTCTCAGTAGCTGCACGCACTTTCGTACTTGGCATGCGTGCCTCTCTCTCCCTCACTCTTTCTTTCACTTCTTTTCTCTCTCACGCTTTCGTAATACTTCCCGGAAGTCTATGAAGACCTGAATTAAGTATGAAGTCATAAGAAATGTAGATGCGCTACGAAATGAATGTCCGCTACGAAGTCGGCGCGCGCGACTCTCCTTATTCGCCAACAATACATTTTAGCGCATTAATCGCGACGGTGCAGCGACGCGAATAATAACGCGAAAACGCGCGGATATTAATAATTTGCGCAGGCCACGTTTCAACACGCGATTTAATATTTTATTCTTAGGTAGAGAAGATTAATTAAGCACTTAATATATTAACATGTATGTAAATATATGTAAATATCAATATATGCATTATGCAATTATCTTATTTCGAATTTTGCATTTTGAAATATCTGTTTACGTACGTTTTTATCCCTTGAGTCCAAAAAAAAGGATTTTTACGGTAAATATTTTTACGGCTATGTTTGACTCAGATTTTTTTTTAGTTTATGTTAAAGAAAAATCCAAGGAGTCCGTAAATATTTAATGCGTTAAAAATGTAAGGTTGCGTATACA